TTCTGAGGTTGGAGAAACCACACAGAATTAAGAAATATAATATCGAAAATTAAGATTCTAGAGCTGTTAGAAGCTTTTCTAATATAATAAAAAAAATCGATATACTTTCTGAGGTTGGAAAAGTCACATAGAATTAAGAAATATAATATCAAAATTAAGATTCTAGAGCCGTTAGAAGCTTTTCTAATATAATAAAAAAATCGATATTATTTTTAACGTTCTGTGACCTACACACACATTGTTTCAGTGGGGGATCGGACCTTTGGTCCTCAAACCCCCACTTTCACTATGTGTAAAGTAATTAGTTGAATGAGTCTACTTTCTCCCAATTTGAAACTTCAGGATGGGTAGAATTTAGTGAAAGACCAATGAAGAATTTCATGAAGATTATATCATCATGATCATAAAACACAGTTCTAAGCTAATGTTTTGAGACTGTTTTTCATGGTTTGGTTTTGGATCACTTTTACCATACCAACTTACCCTGACCTTAACCCTATTGAGGTTCTTTCATCAATTTTTGAATCAGAGCTTTGAAAAAGCAACCTCAGACCATCTAAGATTCAAGAACTGGAAAAAATGATTATCAAAAAATAGAAGTTAATCTTCAAAGAAATATACCAATTACTAATTAGTTTCATGCCCAATAGAAATCAAGCAGTTATTTCTGCTAAAGGGGGTCATATTAAATATTAAATACTGTATATGTGATGGATATTTGCGAACTCATATATAATAAAATCGATATTAAATTTATTCAATATTTATTTCACCTCCTTGTATATATTACTTGGTACTTTGGAAAGAAAAAATTTGCGTAATTATAATGTTATTAGAGAATTAACAAATCCTTCTGATGAATTGCTTTGTGAATGGGCAATTTATTGTGGATTGCAATTAGAAAATTAAGTTAAAGAAATTGATTTAGGAAAATATTGGATGAATCTTGAAGATAAATTACCAATTCTTTCAAAAATTGCACTTAATTATATTTGGTTACCTGTATCTATTTGTAGTGTAGAAAGAAGTTTCTCAATTTATAATAATATTTTAGAAATAATCACCAAAATCTTTCAGAAGATTCTTTGAAAAAATTAAATATGATGTATTTTAATGGCAATTAAATTTTTGGGATAATAAAATTAATAAATTTATTTTTGTTTTCGCCGAAATGAGCAGATTTTAAAATAAACGCCGGCAGATTTTCGCCGCCGGAGATCATCGTCCCTGTATTTGAGAAGATTCTGGCAATCAGCTTTTCGCAGGCGTATGTTTCTTTACCAAAAGTAAGCATTCACAACTGCGGAAATCGCGAAAATAAATGTACATGTTTTCAACTACGTATATGACCGGCAATACGTCTCGTTCAAATTTTTTTTTTACGATCACGGGTGATATATATTTTTCGATTCAATAAGTCGCGTAAATTTACTAAAACTCCATTTAAAAAACTTGCCTCTTTGTTGATATTAAGTACGAACAAATATTAATAATGAAACAGCCGTGTGATGTACTTCAAATATTGGCTCTTGAGAGAAACATATTCATTTAGTATCTTAGGTTTTGGTTTTTTTGAGTCGGCATTTTGATTGCTTGTAAACCCTTGACGTTGTCAACAAAATGGCTGCATTGTGACTCTGGCTTTTGGGCTAGTATTTCGTTGACTTGTTATCTTTTGGAGATATTCTCACGAGTTTTTTTCCGTGAAATGACTTGATCAATGTCTTTTTGAAGATTCTGATAAGCCAGCATTCCGATTGACTTGTAAAAAACTTGCGGGACTCACCTTGTATTGGTGTTGTCAACGGATGACTACCTGCTGTTTTAGTAATTATATCAAGCATTTGTATGCCGATTTTTCCGTCTTTTTTTTTCATTGCATTTACAAGCCGCTGCTCATTGATTGATTTATAGTATTCTCAAATACTGACGAATTTTCTTCTTTATGTTAAGAGACAAATGTTGTTGAAACCTTAAAGGATATCATGACAAAAGCTTTGGACTAGTTTAATATTACAAACTCTAGTTACCGTTACTCTCAGCGAGATGAAGCAGAGAAAGATTTGAAAAGTGCACTGAGAACCAACGCAAATGAAAACTCTGACTTATCAAACAGGGCCTCCGCATCTTAGACGCTATTTCACACAGTTGCAGCTGCGAAAAATAATAGAGCTCAGTGCAAATAATCGAAATTGAACCAACCAGAAACATCCTTCGCTGAAAAATAATCAACTTAACTAATTTTGTTTCTTTGGATATTTGTTTTGACCATTTTGACTATTTAATTTGAAAATTTCTAATTAACATAATTTTTATAATTATATAAATAAATAAAGCTTAGGATAATGCATAAATAGTTGGAATTATTTAAATTATTGTTTTTAAATAAAGCTATATACAATAATTGTTGTAAAGTAAATCTAAATAAAGCATTTATTATGATTTTTCACAGGTTAGCTTCAACTTTTTTTTTATGAATCGAAATTAGATTCGAAGAAAAAATTCATGAATATGACGTATACACTGATTGAAATTAGCCAATTATCAATTGTGCTCTGTTCAACAAGCCTTCATTCCTCTTTTAAAGCAGCTCTTTTTCCTTTTGTTAAAAGCAAATAGTTAACCATAAACCCTAGTTTTCTGCAGTGAACTGTTGTGTTAACGGACAAAAACTTTCAGCGTAAAAATTTCGTTTCCTCGGCCCTCCTTACGGAATACTTAAGCACAGGCACGTGCTTTCCCATCTTTGCATTACTGAGCTCTTTTCAAGTATATAAGTACCAAATAAAAATATAAAATTTTACGTCTTAGTAACTTCCTTAAACATCATGGAATGGGTACCAACACCAGAGGGACTTTCACAGCTTTTGCAGCTGCTTAAAGATTCAGTGTCCCCTAATAATGAAATTCATAACATGATTCAGCAGGTATCCTTTTTTTTGTCAAGTTTTTCGGATCTTTGATACATTATTACTTTCGTTAAACTACATTTGACAACGCGCTAAAGTCATAATTATTTTCAGTTGTGTTTTTTTTCTTATTTAGCTTTCAACTGGTGGTTACTTTTTCTTTAGCGCGTGTTCTTTATAATTAGATCTTTGTTTATTTTTTAATCCGTAGAATAGACTTTTTAAATCTTGCAACAGAAGAACTGCCCAAATTTTCAAATGAAAAATTTGTCATTCTTTTGTTTAGTAACATATTTACTTTAATTTGAGAATTAAACTTTTATATCTTACCCATCCTTAACCAGTTTCTTTATTTTGACATTATCATCATTATAGAAGCTGGATTCATTCAATAAAATACCTGATTATCCCAATTACCTCGTATACATTCTCACGCAAATGCCACAGGAAGAGGCATCTACCCGTGCGATCGCAGGCCTTCTTTTAAAAAACAATATTCGTGTATATTTTGCAACAATTCCACGAGAGGTGCTTGTATATGTAAAGACTTTGTCGATCAAAGGGTTAGGTGATCAAGATGCTATGGTACGAGGTATTATTGGGAGCGTGATTACCACAATCGTTACAAGAGGAGGGTTGGCGGACTGGCCACAGGTTTTGGCTGCTTTAATGGAGTTATTAGATTCTCAGGATTACAATGTTGTAGAAGTTCGTATCATTTTATTTTATTTATATTATACATTAACTATTATAAGAAGAAGATTTACTTTAAATAAATAGTTAATTTAATCAAACACATGTAACCTTTCCTTATTTATTTTAGGGAGCTTTTGGTGCTCTACAAAAGATTTGCGAAGATTCTGCCCGTGAACTTGATCAAGAAATTGAAGGCCAGCGACCTCTCAACTTTATGATACCAAAGATAATTACGTTTTTCGACTCTCCACATATTAAACTTCGGGTGTTTGCAGTATCCTGCATAAACCAGTTTATCCTTATGAGATCGAATTCTTTGTTTATTCATATTGATGCTTTTGTGGCGGCTCTTTTTAAACGGGCCAGTGATGAAAATCCAGAAGTCCGTAAAAATGTATGTCAAGCTCTGGTAATGTTGCTTGAAGTGAGACCTGATAAACTTATGCCTGAGATCGCAAATGTCGTGGAATATATGTTGTTTTCTACACAAGATCATGATGAACAAGTTGCGCTTGAGGCATGTGAGTTTTGGTTGGCATTTGCAGAGCAAGAAGATCTTCGAGAGCATTTACGTCCTTTCCTACCAAGAATTGTTCCTGTATTATTAAAATGTATGGTTTATAGCGATATGGATATTTTAACTCTTGGAGGAGATGAAGACGATACTAATGTTCCAGATAGCGAACAAGACATTAAACCCCGCTTTCATAGGGCTAAAACTCATACTTTTGAACGCACGGAAGCTAATGGTGGGACTAGTGTTGATGGAGATACTTCATCGTCAAACGTTAATCGTGAAGAGGAAGATGACGAAGAGGAAGACGATGATTTGGATGATGATGATATTTATTCTGAATGGAATTTAAGGAAATGTTCAGCGGCTGCATTAGACGTGCTCGCTACTGTGTTTGGTAATGAGTTATTGGAAATTTTGTTGCCTTTCTTAAGGGAACAACTATTTCACCAAGAATGGAAACATCGAGAATGTGGTATTTTGGCACTTGGCGCTGTATCCGAGGGTGGGCTACAATTTTATTCTTATTTAATAATATATTTTTTTTTTTATTTAAATAATGGATTAAAATTTTAATTATAATATATATAATAATAATTAATTGTAAAGGTTGCATGGAGGGGGTTGAACCACATTTACAAAATTTGGTTCCATATCTTATTCAAACACTTGATGATTCAAAGGTAGTTAAAACAAGGTTCAATTTTGAAAATTATATATATGAATAACTTCTCGTAAAATTCCTTTCGTTATTATGTAGCCTCTTGTTCGTTCAATTACATGTTGGACTTTGGGTCGTTATTCCCGATGGTGCGTTAATCCTCCTAACCCACAACAAGATAGACCAAAATATTTCGTACCTTTATTGGAAGGAGTAAGTTTAATATTTTTTTTTTTCCTTGTATTTTATGGTATATTATATAGATTGTATGTCTTTGATTTCTTATTACTCTTTTTTTTTTTTTTTTTAAAAAAAAAAAGCTTTTGAGAAAAGTTCTTGACAACAATAAGCGAGTTCAGGAGGCCGCTTGCAGTGCATTTGCTACTCTTGAAGAAGAGGCCTGTGAACTGCTCATCCCATATTTAGAGCCTATTCTTCGAAATCTCGTATATGCTTTCTCCAAATATCAACACAAGAATTTACTTATTTTATATGATGCCATCGGTACGCTTGCTGATTCGGTCAATTCAGCACTTAACAAGAAAGAGTTCATTGAGATATTAATGGCGCCACTCATTGATAAATGGCATTTGTTAAAGGATGATGATAGAGATTTGTTTCCATTACTTGAGGTACGTGAAAAACTGTCATTTGTATTCAAAATTAATTAATACCTATCTAATTAATTAACTATGATTATAGTGCTTGTCATCTGTCACAACAGCTCTTGGGTTAGGCTTTTTGCCTTACGCACCTCCAGTATTTGAACGCTGTGTTAAATTGATTCATAACACTTTAATACATTATGAAATGCATCAAAATAATCCTACTATGGAAATGCCAGACAAGGACTTTATGATTGTTGCTTTGGATTTATTGAGCGGTTTGACACAAGGATTGGGTTCCGAGATTGAAAATTTTGTAGCAAGCTCTCAACCTCCATTGTTACAATTGATGAGCCTCTGTTTAAGAGTATGTATTGATTTATCTTTAATTTTTTTTTAAAATATAAATTATGATATATTGTCTTATATTGCTTATATTGCTTATAGGATCCTGTAGCAGAAGTTCGACAATCTGCCTATGCCCTTCTAGGCGATCTTTCTATCGCTTGCTTTTCTCACATTAAACCTTATCTCGGTCAATTCATGGTCGAATTAATTAATCAGGTTGATCCGAGAGCTGAACATGTTAGCGTTTGTAATAATGCTGCATGGGCAGCTGGTGAAATTGCTTTGCAATGTGGTCAGTAGTCGAGTTATTCTATGAAATAATTAACAAATTTATAATTCCAAAAATCAATGTTAATCTCTCTTTATTAAAATAATTTCTAGGTGCTGAAATGCAGCCATGGGTTCCACCTTTGTTAGAGCGTTTGATTCCACTTTTAACCAGTGAAACAACTCCTCGAACGCTTTTGGAAAACGCGGGAATTACCATTGGTAGATTAGGGCTCGTTTGTCCGCAATTAGTTGCTCCTCATCTAGATGTTTTCTCCGAGGCCTGGTAATTGAAATTAATGACAAAATATTATGTGTTTTAAAATTTAAACCATAATTTTTTATTTATAATATCTTTATATTATAACAGGTGCAAGGCCTTGCGAGGAATTCGTGACAATGAGGAAAAAGATACTGCTTTCCGTGGTTTATGTGAAATGATCCAAGTTAACCCAAATGGCATTGCAAAGGTTATTATTTTCTATGTCTATCTAATCTTTTTTTTTTTAAAGGCTTGAATCATTAAATTAACACGTTTTTTTTTTTACAATATATTATAGAGTTTTCTGTATTTCTGTGACGCAGTTGTACAATGGCAGCACCCACCCACAGAATTAAATGAAATATTCCGTAAGGTAGGTCATAAATGTTATAACTTTTATATAAAATGAGACAACTTACTTAATAAGCAATTAATAATATGATATTGATATTAAAAGATTTTGACCGGTTTCAAACAAATGATGGGTCCAAATTGGGAAGCATATACAAGTAATTTTCCACCACACATAAGGCAAAGACTCCATGAACGATACGCACTTTGAATGTATTTTTTTTTAGAGGACTTTTTCGTTATTCGTAACAGGTAATTTTAATAAATACAAAAACTGATAATCTTTATTTGTTGGAAAAAGGTTGTAACAATAAATTTTTTTATTATTATTTGATTAGTTCAGCAATTCTGTACCGAACATAGTATATAGTTATTTTATTTGATGTTACCTCTACCCATAGATAGTTTTTCTCTCCTTACATAATTTTTTTCATTCCCACTATAACATTCTATTAGCTTCAGGTTTCATTCCCCTAACCCCTCTATATCTTCTTTTTTTGATTACCTTATTTTTTAACTTGGTAAAAGATTTTATTATATTAAAAGGAGGATAAAAAAATTGTTGTAATTAGTTGTAAAAAAAAAAAAAGAAATCAAGGAGCAAAAAAAAAAAAAAATTCATGTAGAATTAAAAAGTTGTATAGGCATTATTACAGGGTTGTTACCATATACGCAAAAAGAACTCAATGAAAAATAAGGCACTACAAACAAACAAAAAAAAAAAAAGAAAAGAAAAAAGCATATGTTAAATATACCCATCATAATTATGTCAGTATTATATATATCAAAACTCAAAATTCGAAAATTATTTTTAATGCGTGTTATCTCTGAAGTTTAGACAACTTATAACTGATGATTTTTGGTCACCATATTTGGTAGTCATAATAATTATTTGATGTGTATAAATTTGCTTATTTTATTTATTTATTCAAAATATAATTTAAAAATATAAATCATTTTAAAAATAAATTTTAACTATAAAAACTTAATGTATTTAATGTATGTGAGTGATTAGTAATCACATATAGTACAGTATATGAGAATATATATAATATCAAGAGAATATTGAACATGAACAAAAAATATGCTTGGGAATATTAAACGGTCAGTTTTCAAAACGGGATATACAATTATTCGACAATATCAACAGTTTAAAAATTGTACGCAATATGAGAAAAATAAATATGATGGATATTGGAATTTAATATTAGAACAAGTAAACCATTTTTTTTTTATTTTTATTTTTTTTTTTTTAAAAAAAAAAAAAAAATAATTTTAATTTTAAATTTAAACTAGCCTAAATCGATATCGAATGATCTATATAATTATGATGATATAGTTAGTATAGCTATTGAACCAACCACTATTCAAGAAGATAAATCTTTATATACTATTGATGGAGAAAAAATACCTCAAAAACCTGAATTTCCTAATAATTGTTGTATGAGGTATATATTACAAAATTTTATTAAAAGCATTAAGACAATAATCGTACTAATTTATTATTATATTTATATAATAATAGCGGATGTGCTCATTGGTAAGTTTTTTTTTTAAAAAATAATATTTTATATACTTTTAAAATTAAAAAGTAATATTCATATTATTAGTGTTTTAGATATTTATCAAGAAGAACTTAGTGAATGGAAAGATAAATTAAATAATATAAAAGAAAGATTACTAAAAGAAAAAAAACCATTACCTGATATTTTTATACAACTTTTAGAATCTAATAAAAATAACATTGATCCTGGAATAAAAGCTTTTTTGGAATTAGAAAAATCATTAAATCAAAAATCTTGATTAATAAAATATTAATAATATAAAAACAATATATTTATTAAATCTAAAAATTCTCACAAATACAATATAAGATATTATTATATAAATTATTGCTAATTTTATTTACTTTATATTAAATTAAAAATTATCATAAATAATTATTAATTTTATATATCTATTAAATCATTTAAATAATAAAATATATATTTATTTAAAAAAAGTTTTTTATAAATAAATAACAGATTATATAATACTTTTAATTTACAATGAAATTTAAAAAAATTTTAAATTAACAAATATAAATTCTTTTTTATTACTTTTTAATTTTATATAGTTTATAATAAGTAATATTTTTAATATTTATTTTTTTATTATATAAATATATTTTTGCTTTTCCTAATTAAAAAAATCTTTTATTTGATTATTATTATAAAAAATATATTATTCTTTAGATTGTTTAACAGGTAAATTTGTCTGCAAACTTAAAAAAATGTTATTTTTTAAAATATTAAATATTAATTTTAGTAAGAAAATAATTATATAAAAAAATAGTTTAATATAAATTTTATTAATTTTATTAGAATAAATTTTAAGTTTATAAAATATTTTTTAAATAATTTAATTTTTAAATTTAAGTTTTAAAAAATTTATTATAATAATTTTTTAAAA